GTAAGTGTGAAATGTTGTAACTCGAAACATTGGAAGTTGAGGACTGCCTGTAACTAACTGTTGGGAAGGAGAAGGGAAATATCCTGTCCCTGTATTAAACTTAGAATTAGACAAACTCCTGATAACAGTAAATTAGATATCTAGCAAGGAGGTTCCCAACTGTCACCCTGGGCCATGGCATTATGGTGCATGTGATGCTTTAGTTAAATAAAACAAATTAAAATTACCAGAAATCACAAAGCTGTATTTCTGGCTTCAAAAATATCTCTATAAACAGGGAACTTGGCACCTGCTTCTTCTACTGAAGTTTCAGTTAATTCTGATATATAGAAGAGTAATTCATCCCAGAGGAAAAAAGAATGGCAGCTCACCTGGGAAAGTGTTATCCTTACCTTCACTGCAAAGTTAACTAGATTTCTAACTTGAGTTTTTCCCCTAGCTAGAGTCCTACTCACCCACAAAACCCTTTAATTTGATCTTGCTGGGGCTTTTTACTGAAATTAGAAGACATTCAGGGTAACACTTCATTGAACACAACGTGTGAGTTTCTGAGTCTGTGGGATGAATGAAGCTAATATGCTGCTAGAGTACCATTTGACCTTTGATTCCTTCTTACAATTCCTTCCATGTGCCAAGAAAGGAAGACAGGCTCTCCCACATTTTACTGGGCAAGAATTCATAGAGGGTGCATCTATGGTGACATAGTAGCCACGAGCAAAAACCATGATGCCATTGCTACATCACTGTAGCAACACACTCCCTCAGTATAGTGCATTGCTACAGTGACATAGCGGCTAAAAATAATCATGCGCCACTGACACAGCACAGTACAGGCTGCTACTGCGCTATCATTTAGTACTTCCAAAAGGAAGTAGTAAATGATGGTGCAGTAGACACTCCTAGAGAGTCTCAGCTTACTGCAGCACTAACAACCTTGGGAAAGGCCCCCAGGACTCTTAATGCCAGTGCGTGTGTACAGTGCCAGCAAAGATAACACAACTGGAATATTATTTCATAGTCTGATGGTTCTCATTCAACTTAGGCTAACCTGAGAAACATAATTCACGTGTAGACAACTCAAGTTAACTCTGAAGTGAAGACGTGTCCTGTTACAGAGCCATCAGGCATTAATGCTGCCAGTACCATTACATGTTTCTCTGAGTTAGGCACTATCTGTGGCAATCCTCTGTCCTCCACAGCTTTATTTTCTGACTTGTGCTTGAGATCTTCATGTTAACGAGGATTTTTTTTCTACAAGCAGTTGTTCTTTGAGAAGCAAAGGTCCAACTACCAGTTGCACAAGCCCAGCCTGCTCTAGTTACTCACAAGAAACTAAGTGTGAAGGAGACATAGGGCATGTTTACATGTGCCTATTTATATGTAGCACATGCACCTAGGATCACAACATGTTGAGCTGAGGCAGAGCAGCCCTGGCTGACAGAGGGCCCCGGGGGTCAGCCTGCCAGCTCGGGGCTGTTCCCCTTGGTTCAATATGCTGTGGAGGTGCTGGCTGGGGCACAAGGAAGCTTCAATGTGGGGTTAGCTGGCAGGCGGCTCCCACACTGAAGCATCCTTGTGCACCTGCCAGCTCCTCTAGCATCTACATATGCACTGCTGTGGAGTTTTTTGTTTTTTTTTTTTTTTATAAGTACTATTCTGCTGCAGAGTAAACTAGTTTATTCCAGCCTAATAGAGGCACATGTGTAAACACCAAGACATTTACTGTGCAGCTAATTAGTCTACTTTGTAGTAAATGTCTCACGTAGATGTGCATATACAGTAGCAAGATAAGCACCAACTGGCTCTTATCTTAGAATGTGGCATTCGGAGTAGAAATATGTTGCCACGCTGGAGCCTCAGATTCAGTTTCAATAAGAGTTAAAGAATTATAGAAATATGTTCATCCCTTAGAGGGGGAAGGCATCTCATTTTGCTCAGCCCATCCCACTCATCATCCAACTAAAGGGTGATTTGAACTTGCTGAACTTTACCATATTTATTCACAGAGAACCCAATTTTAGAGGACTGATTATAGGGGAAATGGTATATACGCTATGTCTTAAGTTGGGAAGCAGATTTTTCTTCACTGGAATAGAAGCACAGAGATGTGATCTAATCACTGCCAAAATGTCTGCCACTTCTCTCTCCCCCAGCAAACAGACAGGGCAGAGTTCAGTGTTAACCACTGCATAGCCTCTACTGGCTCAGCACTATACCTTGTGCCTGAAGCAGCAATTTGAACTAGCCCAGGCCAAATGAGCTACTACATGTAGTCTGTAATATCTTGATGATTGTGGTGTTGAAATAACACTGTTATTTATAGGAATTGTATATATTTACAGTAAAAAACAAAACAAAAACAGTCTTGCTACTATCCTTGCAAAGGGTTGAGGCCTAGCCTCGCTGCTGTCCAGCCACACCAAGAAGATTTTGCTGTCTTACCCAGACTGCCTCCTGGAATGCCCACACTTCCTAGACACTGAGTTTCCAGGAGGAGTTATTCTATCTCACATAGTCACCCATGACTCTGGAAAAACCTATTTTGCTATATTTTGCCTTCCAAATTTAAGGGTTTGGTCTTATTAGTGGTGTTGTATGTGATAAAATATGGTAATTATTTCTGTGAGCACATCAAATGCAGAGCTATTCAACTGAGTTACTCTGACAGCTCTATCGGATGCAACTCATTAGATCCACTTCAGAAGCTAGGACTGCATAGTCTCCTGCAGCAAGAGACTGTTGAGAGAAGGTATAATATCCAGGCTCAGTGGTTAAAAGGATGGTGGCTGGCACAGGAGGCCTTATACATAAGGTGCAGATTTTAATAGGCACAAATGGGTAAGTCCTCACTACACAGAGAGATGGGAGGATGCCCACCCTAAATAAACATATAACAAAATCCCTGCTCCACTCCTTTTTGTTCTGAAAGCTTCTAAGTCCATGTGTTACCATGGCAGCTAGATTCTCCAGTACTGCCAATGTATTCCAGTTGGTTACCAAAAACAGTTACATAATAAAAAACTCATTGTTATTGGGCCTCTACAGACTCTAACGGGACTCACAGAGCAATGTCAGACAAGTAATTTATACACAAGAACATTGCATATACACATCTAAGGATGAGTCACTACAAAAAGTAGCATGGTATGGGCCACATTATGTGGAAACCACCAAACCCATGAAACTCAGTGGGAGTGCAGACAGACAAGTGCCAAGGAAATAAGGCTATCAGACTACTTGATTCTGACAATGATTTAAACTGATGTGTAAAACTGACTTTGTTGATGCTGGATATGAGCACACTCCCAACTGTTGTTATGGATATGCTAATATCATGCAGAGTCCTGTTGCCCAAAGAAAGATACTTGTCTACAACAAGGAGACTATTACTAGCTAGCTCATGGAATGGGACAGAGAATATTTCACCTCTAAGAACACTGCACATGTGTTGGAAGGTAGCAAATGTGGTCCCCATCTTCAAGAAGGGGAAGAGGGAGGACCCGGGTAACTATAGGCCCGTCAGTCTTACCTCAATCCTGGGGAAACTGTTTGAGAAGATCATCAAGGAGCACATTTGTGATGGGCCGGCATCAGAAATGATGCTCAGGGGCAATCAGCATGGATTTATTAGGGGGAGATCATGTCAGACCAACCTGATTGCCTTCTACGATCAGGTCACAAAGGCCATGGATGCAGGTGTCGCGGTGGATGTAGTCTTTCTGGACTTCAGCAAGGCCTTTGACAC